AGTTGGTTGAAAATGTTCAAAGGAGGGCCACCAAACTGGTGCCTGCACTTCGGCACCTCAGCTACCCTGAGAGGTTGGAGCGCCTGAACTTGCCTAGCTTATACTACAGACGGGCAAGGGGGGACCTAGTTGAGGTGTATCTGCATCTCAGGAGGCACTACTCAATTCAGTGTCCCTACTTGGAGCTGGCGGACGCTCGCCCCACAAGGGGTCACAGTTCAAGATTGAAGAAGCCGCAAGTCCAGAAAACTGTGAGGGCAAACTTTTTCGGAGTGAGGGTTGTAAACTCTTGGAACAATCTATCAGAGAGTGTTGTGACGGCACCGAGTGTGAGCTCTTTCAAGACAAGACTTGATCAACACTGGAGCGGGTTCAGGTACATTCAGGAGCCGGTGTATGCCCAGTATTTGCCAACAGTGCGTGACAGAGACGTGACCGATCGCCCGGGCGGCTAGCGAGCCGATCTTTTGGTGAAGAAGATAAATGAAAAGGAAAAGTAATCAGAGACGTGACCGATCGCCCAAGCGGCTAACAAGCCGATCAGTCGCGAAGAGGATAAAATTAAAAGTAATGGCGTTACTAGTGGTGGCGTTGGCAGTGCTGGCGTCGTTGGCTCTGTACTCGATATAAAGTGTTTCCCGTGTTGACCCTCACCCCAGGGTCTTGCATAGCGTGTTCATTATATTGTGTGTACACAAGGCTGCCAGTCCGTCGTATGTGCCGCCGAGCCGACAACATCAATATCACTGTACTAACAGTGTCCTCTGGCCGCTTAATCGTCTGGTTCTCAGTCGTTTGGTGAGACACCTATAGTACGCTGGTCCACATCCGCCTCTGCCCTGCGACCTCCGAGTAGCCTAACGTATTTCACCCTTATCAAATCAGACTTAATCTACAGTAAACTCACGCAATGCGAGATTTAAGCGAGCAGAAATTTACCTAATCTGTCTGTGTTCCTTTCGCAATTAACTTTGCCCAACAGAACTTGACCTAACAAGGAAAGTATCTAATCTGACTTTAACTGGTGCCAAATCTTTCGATTACTACCAAATTTTCACAGGGAAAATATTCAACATGCGTTATAGCCTTGCCATAAGGAAGAGATTGGACCCGTTTAAGATTCTCCTTGTGAGTCTGAAAGTCGTTAAGGTCCTGGGAGGCCTGCCCTACACCTGGAAGACACCTGGGGTACACCAGCAGCTGGGTGAGGCTCTGCCCCAGGGCACGAGAGTAAGTCCTGGAGGAAGTGCTAGCCCGCGATCAGCACGAGTCACACCTATACCACAACTGAGAAAGAGCCATTGTATGGTGGTCTGGTCCTGGCTACTTGTTCTTGTTATGAACACTCAGTTTGCTACACTTCCTTTCATATACGTTTATGATAAAACTGTGGAGCTGGGAGAAACAGTTCAGACTACAAAAACACTGGCATTGTTCCATTTGGCTGCAACTGGTGTTATCCTCTTTTTCTCCTTGTTGTTCAAAAGTTCCGAGCTGACACGACTACTCGGTCACCTCAACAGAGTGCTCGAGCACACTGTCACTGACACACCAAATCAGTTCATGGATATATTTTTCCCCGTCCTACTTGTGGTCTACTGCATCACATCAGGCTACTCTGTGTTCGTGTATTGGGGCACCACCATTATTACACTACTTTCCACACGGAATGAAAGTTCTTACTTCAGTAATTTTTCATATAAATGGATAATTTCTGTATATATGATGTTGGCTTTGTGTCTGCTTATCTTGCAGTCAGCCATCTTGCTGCTCTTCCATGCCATCTCATCAATTATTTTGCTGAGCTACAGTGATGTTTTGGTAACCCTGGTGCGTATTAAAGACCGCCATCTAGCACACATCGGGAAGCCATCTGTTGTGTGTTCTGTAAGTTTGTTGACAATTGACCAGGTGGGGAAGGAAACTGCCAGCGACGGAGCCTTCACTCCTCTCTCCAGGAGTCCACCTCCGCTACCTGAGGATGAGCTCGCCGCCATGACCCACCTTGTACACAGACTACAGCTGTTCCAACAACACTTCAACAGTTACTTCACTACGTCGGTGATCGTGATGATGTTCTACTCCATCGTTTCTATAACCATAATAGTATTCGGCCTCATCAACCTGACGAACACTAACTTCTTTGAACTTTTATCCATCGTTGCAAAACTTACGCAATTCATCACTTGCCTCATCCTCATCTGCTGCGTGCCAGACACAGTAACAGAGAAGGTCTGTACACTCAGTTCTTGTGTCTTGATGATAATTTTGTGAATAAAACAAATACTAAATTATATATAATCATTTGCTATTGTCGTTATATACAACTTTACTCGGTGAGACTGGAATTACCTTACCCCAGGATGGGTGGTGGAAATAGTGCCTCGGGGCCACCGACTCACTTAAAGAAATGGCCAGTCCGATAGATACTGAATACCCAGTCATCCTTAAGGCATAGTAAGTCTCCGTGTGGGGCCAAGCAACCTAACATACACACACAATATATGTGTATATGTACAGTATATATATATATATATATATAATGATAAAATCAGTTGCCTCTGAAGATGTCTTGAATAAAGACGAAAGCTAAGGTGCTCCAGTGTTTCTCTTTTTCTTGTGAGAACAATAATTGCCTCATATCGGACACTGATACGGTAAGACATATATCATGTGCTGAGTCACTGGCGTTGTGATAACGTACTGTATGTTAGTTACAGCACCACCAACACAACTGTGTCCTGGGGGGCGGGCACTTGACAATGTAAGCTGACTGGGAGTTGACAGCTCTGGCATGACTGGTACAAGTTGACAGCTCTGGCATGACTGGTCCGAGTTGATAGCTCTGGCATGACTAGGAGTTGACAGCTCTGGCATGACTAGGAGTCGACAACTCTGGCATGACTGGGAGTTGGCGGCTCTGGCATGACTGGGAGTTGGCGGCTCTGGCATGACTGGGAGTTGGCGGCTCTGGCATGACTGGGAGTTGACAGCTCTGGCGTAACTAGGAGTTGATAGCTATGGCATGAATGGGAGTTGACAGCTCTGGCGTGACTGGGAGTTGACAGCTCTGGCATGACTGGGAGTTGATAGCTCTGGCATGAATAGGAGTTGACAGCTCTAGCATGACTGGGAGTTGACAGCCCTGTCATGACTGGGAGTTGACAGCTCTGATATACCAGGGAGATGACACACATATAATCGTTTAATTTTTTGTCCAGAGGGAAGCTGTACGGAACACCATTCTGGCCCTACGAGTACTGCCGAACCTTCCCAACCGTCACGACGACCAGGTATTTTGCTCTATCTCTCTCTCACTTTCAAAATTGTGTTTATATGTTCATTCATATTTCTCTTTACTTCTGTATATTTTTCCTTTCGTAATAACATGTATATTTCGATCTACTTGTCTGGTTCTGACTGTATTAACGTCGCTTTGCTCATAACAAAATAAGGAATAGAGGAAAACAATACAAAACTATTCCAAATGTGTTATTATTGTATTACTTGTCAGCTGAGTCGAATCTTGGAGCTCCTGGCCGCCTACCAGGACTTTAACATGGGCCGTTTGTTTGTCTTAGCCAAGGCCAAACTCGTCACAGTAAGTCCCTTCACTGTCATGTATCTTACTGTAACACTCACAAGTCCCCTTTTTAATAACAAATGCACGCCATCAATTCATATCCATCACCTATACCAAATTGTGTAAAATTCCCTTGAAAATTTATGGCTGAGTTGATTTGGGAAACTGTTCTCTTCTTTATGCACTGTACAGTAAGTGGCACTAAACTCTGATACACCAACACTGTCTCTTCTTTATGCACTGTACAGTAAGTGGCACTAAACTCTGATACACCAACACTGTCTCTTCTTTATGCACTGTACAGTAAGTGACACTAAACTCTGATACACCAACACTGTCTCTTCTTTATGCACTGTACAGTAAGTGGCACTAAACTCTGATACACCAACACTGTCTCTTCTTTATGCACTGTACAGTAAGTGACACTAAACTCTGATACACCAACACTGTCTCTTCTTTATGCACTGTACAGTAAGTGACACTAAACTCTGATACACCAACACTGTCTCTTCTTTATGCACTGTACAGTAAGTGACACTAAACTCTGATACACCAACACTGTCTCTTCTTTATGCACTGTACAGTAAGTGACACTAAACTCTGAAACACCAACAGATCGCTAGCTTCATTGCCACCTACTTGGTCATCCTCCTACAGTTCAATACAAGTGACAGTAACCAGCTGGAGGACATCTCTGGGAACACCACCACCATCTTAGCTCCTCGCTCCTAGATCTTGAAGAAACACCCTGGCCACTAGGAGGTCCCTGGCCTGGCCACTAGGAGGTCCCTGGCCTGGCCACTAGGAGCTTAATATAGGTGATCCCTGGTCACTAGCTTAGTATAGGGGATTCTTAGTCACTAGGAGCTTAATGATCATTAGGACCTTGTACTAGGGCTCTGGTGACGAGTTAATCAAATTACGACATAGAACTGTTTATGAATAATGATAAATGAAAGATTTAAAGCAAGCAAATCTAATCAGTTTAGCCTAAGCAAACTATTATATTTTTGTATATGTTTCAATTAGTAAGGATGAGGGAAGCTATACAGTGCTGTTGGTTAGCTTGCTTGTTTTAAAAGGAATCGGCTAATAATTCCTCGTAAATAAAAAAAAAGTTTACATAGATGACAACAGGATAAGCAGTTTACCATAAAAGCAATTTCAAGTTGTCAAATAATATAGTTGAATACGTGTTAGTAACTTAGTAACTTGCTTGCCGCTCACACTTTTACTTTTTTCTTTTTTTACTTTTAAATGGTGTTAAAATTATTAAAACAATTTCTCAAACGTACTGAATCTCATCACTACATCCATTTATCTCATATACTTACTTATACCATACAGTAATAATGATTTAGTAAATTAAAAGGACTGTAACAATGAATTTAAAGGGAAATATTAGGTCAGTTGTGTGTAGGTGTTATTGTTTACTTGTCACTCGGGGCCCATCCTTGATCTGGTCGAGGAGTAAGTCGCTACCTGTGCTCCTTGTACTGAGTTTGTCTGGTGTCTACTGCGTCCCAATAGATCAGGTACACACAGAAGAAATTGTAGATGTTACTGTTTGAATAGTGTATACTTCTTTACTGCTGGTAGTCTAAAACATGTACGTTTGATTTCGCTATTTTGTTGTAGTTTGATGTTGTACTTTTTCTGTGTTCATTAACTTCGTTTTGCTGACTGTAAATGATAGTTGAAATTTAAATAATAATAATAATAATTGATAGTCGCTTACAATAAGGTCCTGTGAGAAAGAGCAACTTTAGGAAGAAAATTCTACCTGTTAAAGAAGAAAACTTGTTAGTTACTTCCCTCTTGATTATACCCTAAAATAGTTGGTCCTTGTTAACAATTGCTCTTTATAGAATGAAAAACTTTATAAATACATTCATTACACTGGAGAAATAAACTTGTTTCTTACCTCTCGAATATCAAATTATCCAATACCCCAACAAATAACAAGGTCTTATAGCAATGATTTCCATTATTAGTCAGGCACTTTAGTCCTGGACAGCATCTCAACTTAATGTACTTACAAACATTTGCCAATGATCCAGTAACTGATGATATATTGTAACCTACGTTAAAAGTGCACGATTATATCAAACTTGACGAGAATGGTCCGGCTCCACCAACAGCTTGAGAAACTTTCTTCATGCAAGATTAAAGAGTAAAGATTTGTTTTATGCCAATACAGTAATAAAGTAGGTTATTTTTTTGTGTGTGTGCGTATGTCTTGACCCCACAATTGGTAATTTATGAGAACGTCGCTACCACCGGAAGGAGTTGTTCGATCTCGTTCATTTTTTCCAAATGTTTTCTTATCATTATATAAAGTATTTTAAATAGGCTACAACTTTTTATTGTAATTATGAGTATTTTTCAGTTTTTGTTTTTCGATATGATAATAAATCACCAGTAGTGGGCAGGGTATGAAAGATGAGGGAAATTGTGGGGTATAACACTGTGAAAAATTTATATTGTGTAACTAAAATGATGTGTCCACGTGCTTTGTATGTGAGGAAATGGTTAATATTCGTCCATTGGCTGTCCGCAGGTTCCCGCCACGTTTACCTGAGGTTATACTCCTCACTTAAAGTCAGTTGTCTCTTTATTTCCTCCTCCTCCTTGTAAGTTAGGTTAGGTAGGTAGGTTATTTTTTTTTTGTATGAGAATAAGTTTTCTTTTGGTGTGTTTTACTCAAATCTGACCTCTATTTTTGTGCAAATTATCTGTTTCTGTTAAAAATAAAATTTTTAATATTTTGTAAAAACTTAATTTGCACAAGAAATGAAGATCAGATGTCAATAAAACACACCAAAAAACATGAAAAAAAATCCTAATCTCATATCAAAACCTGACGACAGGCAATGGACGAATATCTAGCCAAAGAAATTAATTATTTACCATAAATACTCCTCTAAAAACTCTGCGGAGTCAGTGTGTGTTTTCGTCTGCCCTGTTTGTTGATGACCAACCCACTCAGTCCAAGCATACTCTCATGTCCACTAAAAAGGCAAAATTACACCGTGACGCTTCAAAAAAGCTGCTTTCATTGGTATAGCAGATATCGGAAGTATTTTCTGTTTACTATAACAGGGGTCCCGGGGGGGCGAGGAAGTTAGGTAAGGTTAGGTAGGTTTCATTGGTTGGTTAGGTCAAGTTCTATTTGGTTTTTGTTTTCTGTGTTTTTTCTATTTCTCTTTTATGTTATATTATTTTATTTCTTTTTATTTTTCCAAGTCTTTATTTCAGAATGCTTATTACTTTATTTTCTCTATTTTACTTTTCTTAGTGTTTATTTCTTTCAATTTTTTTTATTTATTTATGTATTTCAATATTCTTTATCTTTCTTTTCTATATCTTATATATTTATTTCAATGTCATTTGTTTCTTATATTTTACTCTTATTTTTTCAATATTTATCAGTACTTAGTTATATTCTATTCAATGGATTAACCTGGAAAAACCATATCATTCTCTAACATCCCTTGGTATAATTATATTTGCAAGGTAGACTGCCACCACCCAGGCTTTTATTTGATTATAACTATCATTAAAATGTTAGGTAGATACGAGCTTAGGCACGTGGGTTACAGTGATTATTTTCTGAGAAGCAATTAATTGTTAGACGGGAAGGGGCAGTGATACTCGCAATTTACTAAATCAATATTTATCAAATGAATAGTTTGTTAAGTTGAACCTTTATCCACAAAAACAAAAACAGGTTCAATCACTGATTATTTTGCTGTAACACACAACAAAAAAGGACCACTAGGTCTTACTTTAGAAGTAACAAAATAGATCTTTGATTAACATTCAACATTTTATACCTCCTATTATGTCTGACAATGAAGATGGTCATTTTACACACTTGCTAATAGCACAGGTATTACTACATTAATTAAAACCTCAACTGGGTCAATTATATTTCTGTTAATTATCCCCATTCACATACAAGAACACTACTTTGCACATATAACTGAGATTAGTACACCAGGGTCATTCACTGGTGTTTACTATAAAAAATGAAGCTCACTATTAGCGCCGGTTGGACTCTGACATGAGGGTTAGAGAGCTCATCTGCCCGGGTGTAGCTTCCAGGGTGCGTAACTCTCGCTTAATTAAAAACATCTTGCTGGTAGGCAGCTACCGGGGTATTCGGCTACAACACTTCATTCCTGAGATACGACAAGGGAGCATCAAAAATGGGCTCTAAAAGTCTAAACTCGATTACAAACAATCATACGTCTGGCATCGACACAGACGATGTTTAAGTTAATTCTTACTTGGCATGAGAATTTTACTGTGTTAAAACATGAACACTGATATTCAACAAAGTTCAACCGAGTTAAATTCATTTAATATGGCGGGCGTGAGGCACTCGTTACTTACCTGAGGTACGATTAGGGAGAGTCAAAAAGAGTGACTCTCCCTCTCTTGCAGGCATTTATGTACGACATAACTGGCAACTCAGGCAAGCCGAACGGGCAATTCATGTATTGACATACACTTCATTTAAAACATTTGCTGTACATTTGGCTATGAGAATTAGTGTCATGGGTCAGATCAATTTCTTATGTCTATTGTTTACAATCTAACCAGAGCTCGAGGTTGCCAGGCAATAGTGGAATGGACGTCAAACGCACAAGCTGATAACGTCTTTCTTACTACTTCATCAAAATAGAGACAAGGGCCTACTGAAAGTTTGCTGTTAGATCTTGGAGGTAAGAAGACTGACATTCTTTTCAGGATATTAATTACTTAATAAATTATAAAACTGACAATAATTTCAATACAAACATCAGATTCTCTCTAATGATTGGGAATCAAAATGATCTAACCTCAGTATCAGTTGGAAACTCAGAGCCTCACCAAGGATGATGATGATGTCAGGGATTCGTCACTTCTACTGGCAGACTCTACTCTAACTTATTTGACAATTTTACTTACAGTAAATACAGTTGAAGCTTTCAACATCACTTACGAGGGATCTTGAATGTTTCATCTGTAATCAGACATATCTAATTTAATGTAAAACAATTGTGTTCTCTCTCAATTTCAAATCTCTAAACACGATATGAGGTATTAAGAAATATCAGTCTCTGAGGTACATGAGAGAAAACGGAGGACTCTGGAGTACTGAAGCGGTGAGAAAATGGATGTCTCTACTGAGGGACTCGATAAAGAAGTTATAGCTACATGTTGTACTTGCTATTGGGCATAATATGAATCGTCTGATTTTACCTTGACTAACATGTACTACCGTGGTCAGTACACTAGTTAATATTGCCTCTTTTAAAATACCTACTTTAATGATAAGAACATCTGTGGAAAAAATGAACGAAATCAAACAACTCCTTCTGGTAGTAGCGGTGTTCTCATACATTACCCCACATTTGTCCTCATCTTCGAAGCCCTTCCCACTTAAGGAAGTTCTTTGTTGTTGCTGGTATAAGTGGTCATATCTCCATAAATACGTATCAATCTCCGTGGAAATATAGGTCATGTTCATTTATAACAGGAAAAAATACTGTACATTATGAAAACCTATCATTTAATAAATGTCTTGTTATGGCATAAAATGAATCTTACTGATAAACGTCTCTTTCCTCAAGAAACTGACAAGAAGTACTTTTACAAGTTTTTAAATTTTTCCTTGTCTCTAACTGGTCAATGGTTTAACAGTAAACATGGCGTCTGTGCATGGATCGACTGTATTTGGTTTTGACAAGAACTAGATTTTTTGGGGGTGGGGGGGATTTGTGCAGACCCATAGCAGCCACAAGGGAGTACTGTACTGAGAAGTAGTGCCCCCTCAGATCCTGCACATACTAAGGACTATTAATTAGCTTTCCTCAACATTTATTTTCTTTCTTCTGCTGTAATCACTGGTGTTTCAAGTGTGAGGCAAGCATCTCAACAGGGGGTAGGACTCTTAACGCACTACATGAGCCATGCCAGAAAGTGTCAACTGGTTCTATTAACATTTAAGGAGGAAAGTGCAGTATGTACCACCATGCACAGGTACAGAGGTATTGTACATGTCTGTAATATCTTTAGAGTAACTCATGTTATTTATGGTAAATCTATGCACAAAACCTTTGCTGAAGAGTGAAATACATACAGTAGACTTTGCATGTAAAAAATAGGATGTTGGGTTTTGTTTTGATGGAAGCGCCACTGGTTTTTATTGGTCAATTTTGCCAAACAGCTTAAAATATGGAAAACATTTGTATTTTGTGGCAACCTCCATTACTTGACCAAGCACAGCTATAAAATTATAAACAATTAAACTAAAGAATATGCTGTACAGTGAACCCTCACTTTACGCGGTCAATTGAACCCACGGCGGCCCGCGTAAAGTGAGAAACGCGTAAAGTGAACGGCATAACATATGGGATTAATTGAAATAGAGACCGGGCCGACCCCCAAACTCCACTTTTTCAGACACAATACCTACGTTGTAGTAAAAATAACTTCTTAATTTTATGATGGTATGCACACACAATTAATAATTAAGAGAAATATCAATAATATTAGGTTTTTTAACACTTACATGAGTAGAAAAGATGGCTGGGCACACGGGGATGGGGGGTTGGTTCCGAGGCAGAGGGCAGATTATTGGCCCTCACCTGTATCACTTGTATCAATTGTATCACTATCCACCACAGAGGCTTGCAGGGCCTCTTTGTCAAACCCCTCAAAGTCCATATAAGTCCATATCCTCACTATCATTATCACTATCACTGACTTGGGCCGGCTGTGGCGGGTGAAGAGCTCGGTAATGTTTTGATGACTGGGCGACCTTGTGCGCACCCTGCTCGCGCCGCTCTCCGCGTAAAAGAGTACACACACCGGGGAGAGTGAGCATTCCGGTTGCGGCAGGGTGCCGCGTAAACGTGGAAACGCGTAAAGTGAAACCGCGTAAAGCGGGGGTTTACTGTACTGTATTGTTAATTATTAAGAGTGGTTAGTGAAGACTCACCAACTTAGGCTACAAGCACTCTGTTGTCTTGTGAGTATAACATTATTATTGGACTGTACTATACTGCACTGTATTTAAGATAAGTTTACTCATTATTTTTACATTAGTACAGCATTCCCTGACAATTCAAGGATTTTTTATTCGCAGACCTCGATTATTCGTGGATGACTCCCTGGATGTACCCAAAAATTTCTTAAGGGTAGTTTTAAAGTTGCAGGCATTTTTGCATTTGGGACAGGGAGCCATTTGTTCTTGAGACAGTAATTTCTTTTACCTGTATTGTATACAGTATATATGTGTGTGTGTAAACACACATACAAATAATTAAAAATGGGAAAATCCTTTCACAAATAATCAGAAACAAATGTATTAAAAATGTGAGAGTCTACCCTCAAGTCAACTCCATCCTTTGTTATTAAATTTGTTACCGATTATTTGTGAGAGGAATTTCCCATTATTATTAATTTGAAGTGTTTCCTGTGTGTGTGTCTACATACGCACACACATATATGAGGCCCCCCGCATCGTAAGAGTTATTCGCGTCAAAATTTTAAACTGAGAAAACCGCTTTTAAAGTTTTCCAACTTCTAATAAGCATAACTTTGTTGTCTTTTGAGATACTGTACAACATTCATTTTTGATGCATTTTGAAGCTAAATGACTGTACTTGCAGATGGTACGTAGCATGTCATAAAGTAATGTACTGGGTTGTTGCAGTGTTGACTTGAAGCACCAAAACTCCCACCCGCTTATGGCTTATTTTTTACTTTATACGATATTAGAGTCTAGATCCCGCTACAACAAAAAAGAACTGGGGGAGAAAGAGAGAGGGATTCTGAGCTCATTGGCTGGAGGGGCAGTGACATAGATAGCAGACACTCACTGTCATTGGCTGGAGGGGCAGTGACATAGATAGCAGACACTCACTGTCATTGGCTGGAGGGGCAGTGACATAGATAGCAGACACTCACTGTCATTGGCTGGAGGGGCAGTGACATAGATAGCAGACACTCACTGTCATTGGCTGGAGGGGCAGTGACATAGATAGCAGACACTCACTGTCATTGGCTGGAGGGGCAGTGACATAGATAGCAGACACTCACTGTCATTGGCTGGAGGGGCAGTGACATAGATAGCAGACACTCACTGTCATTGGCTGTGGGAAGTTTCTCTTAGCTGAATAAAATTATCTGGCAGCACCAGAATAAAATTATAAAGTGCAGGAATCGCCTGGAAAAGGTTAAGAAACCCTTTCACACAAGTTCGTTACTTAAGTTTCAACTCCTTAGATTTGCTTATTATAGATAGTTGCTTAAACCCCAACTCAAGTATAGATGGGATAACAGCATCACTCCATTACTTCTCCATAGTAATTATTATCTTTTATATTAAGGACAACTTTTTTGTTAGTAAGGTTAAGATGGAAAATATTGATAGCTCAGAAATATGTTTTGAATCAAAATTTTAATGTGATTTTGAGCCAATCATTGGTTAAATTGGAATATTTTCATCTCTCTAATTTGGTTTCTAAATGACTTTTGTTACAGTCATGGATTACAGATTTGAAGCTTTTTAGATGTACTGTGTGTGGCCATAGTTTAAAATATCTTTGAGTTCAGTATGAAAAATATATTGCTGCTTCCCAATGTGGTAAAAAATATTCAACTGAAATATTAAAAAAAAAAAATATATATATATGTTATATTGCTTTCCAAAATGGCACTGTATATAATTTATAAATACCAATATAGTATTCATTTTGTGTTATGCCTGCCAGTTCTCTTGTTTTATGAATTGCAGTAAAGGTATTATTTTTAGTCATATGTACAATAAACACTATCATTTGTTTCATAGATGGTAAGAGATACAGACAGACAAGAGAGAGGACTGAAAGGAGGAGAGTGGGAGTAGGAGGAGGAGGTTGGGTGGTGGGTAGGCAAGGAGGGAGGGTGGGAAGTCAGGGGAGCTAAATATAGCAGCAAATTCTTGGCAGACTTGATGCACTCCCAGTGGGCTCAACATTTTTCCCAGCCATGTCGACAGTCATATTGGGATTACTGGGGATCCACAGCGGGAGATTGTGTCAGTAGTGTTTGTGAGGAGAGTGGTTCTGTAGTACTCTGTGGTGTGTCCTGTGAGACAAACTAACAGGTGAATTTGACAGTACATGCGAGTCACTGAAAATGTGCCCTTGAAGTTAAACAGAAGGTAATGTATGTTCTGAAATTATACAGGAAATCTTTGTCATGACTTGGTTATGTGTTCCACTTATTGGTATTACTCTGGTATGTAATTCAAATTGTGTGCATGTACAGTATTTCATGTTTGCTGTTATTGAAGAAAAAAAATATGTGGAAACTAGAACAATTGAATGGACATAGTACTAGTAGCGATCTATTTGGTAATAAAATGAAACATGTATATAGTGTGCTAGGCGTATTTGTATGCAGGTTAGTGAGATGTTAATATGATAATTTTCTATAACTTGATATAATTTGTGAGTAATACATATACAGTCTTTTTGGAGTTTTACTCTAGACCGTGGCAGCTGGTGGTAGTTCACTGTTCTCTGACATCTGTTGCTTTAAATGAGATATTGAAACTTATGGTCTGCCCAGAGACTATAAGGGTCACATTTCATTTCACAATGTTATACACCAAGTTCAGAGTAACAGCCACTTAACTCGAGTTGTCAACCTCCTAAAGGAAAGATGTGTCCGTCTGATTCCTCATATATTT